GACATGCTTTTCTATTCGGGCACGATAGAAAGTTGTTTTTTTCGCGTAGGCTGCGGATTACCACGGAGTAAATGATTGTCCACTACATCTAAAGTGAAGCTTACAAAATTCAGCATACGCGAAGCGAAGCAAACGGGAGTAGAACTGTTAAAACATCCTATATAACTATTTCAATCTTGCTGATTATCAGCAGTGTAGACCTGCTTACCCGAAAGAGAATCAAACCTGACAGAAACAACACACACACACACACACACATGAAATCCATATGCTACGTACATTCCTGAAGCATTTCAGTGATATCTCACTTCCAAGCCAGTTGGTTGCCTTCAACAGATCCACCCACTTTTCGCAGACTTCTTGAGTTGATATGTCTGAACATGTATAACTTTGATATTACATGATCAATAATTTCAATTTAGCTTGTGTTTTTTCGAGCCATTTGAACTGGCAAATCAATACATGAATCAAATCCCGTGGGCGTGTAAGATCGAAACCGAATAGCGCGAACTCGGAATCGAACTGAAAATTCACTGGACAGCGCAAATCCAGGTAGAATCAAGACGTGTTGTGGATATTGTTATTTTGATTAGGAAAATCATGCAAATTAATATCACAAGCATCGAACAAACAATCACTGATCGATTTTTCAATATCCACTCGACAACACTATGATTCCCTTGGTCGTCTTGTATTCAGCTAATCCGATTGGTGCCACCTGAGGTCACCAGATTGGTCAGGAAATCCGTTTCCGGATTGGCTACCTGGAAGTTGTACTGTGGGGTGTGTGTGAACGATCACCATACTTTTTCTTAAATCAAGTACGTCCGAATACAGGATACGACATGGAGTATCAAACTGCAGAAAAAGTGCTCAAAGTGCCATGAAAACGGGACGAAAAGATCATCGAACTCCAATCCTAGTGTTCATCCTTATCGAAATTAGTTCGGTTAGTGGAGTTGATGTTTTTCAAACAGAATAGAACCGGAATCCAATGGGATGGGAGCATTTCAGGCCATTTGCTAAATCGATTATGCCAAACATTTCAAAGCAGGCCTTGAATTATCGATCGTTCACATGCCTATTCAACACGTGAAATGTATATGCCTGATCATCACAATCCACACCGTCTTGTTTGTCTTTTGCTTGATTTCACGCAAAAAATAGTTTACCTGAATCCGAATCAGCATCACTGGAGTATCCGTGCATTTTGAATGATCTGATGTACACATCCGCTGCACATTTCGGTTGTCCTTAAGCTCAAACATGATGGCTTCGGATCCTTAAACATTGACTCAATATTCGCATCCCTACTATGCCAAGAAGTCGGTATACTACTGACCTATTCCATCAATAACGAAACAGTTGTCTACTGACTCATCTGTATCGTTCCTGATGAAATCCAAAGGGCTACCTATCTCAGTCTCTTCATGCGACTTAGTTGTGGTAATCTGAATAGTACTGAATGTAGAAATACGAGAACTCGTAATGTATTGCTCAGAACTGGATTGGTTCCAACCCGAACTGTGGACACCAATGAAATACACGAGGAATTGATAGCAGCAAATGCTTATGTTTATTGATAGAATTAGATCATGTTTTATAGAATGTAATNTTGAACGACGGTTCTCCAATCACGTAACCGATAGCACTGACGCATCATATGTACTAACTCGGATGTCATGTTCGCCCCCGATGTACCATTGGTCGAGCTTCCTGAACGGTGATTGGATGACATGAAACTGTAGCTGGTCGTGCATGGATTGCGGTCACAGAAGTCTGAATCACCACAGTTGGATTGATCGATGGAGGCAGAACGAAAAGCAAACTTTTGGAAGTCATTTAATGATGAACTACAAATGATAGGGAATTAATTACATTTCAGGATCATCGGGTTGGTTGATCGAATGTAATTAGGCTAACGGCTCGCATCCCGAAATGGTCAAAGTTTATTTATTACGAAAATGTATAGAAGTAACACTGTAGCTCAGACACGTAACATTCCAGTGGGCTGACGACCGCTGTCTTTGAGCAAAATTAAAATTTTCCTCTATACGACAATAAAAAGCATCAAATGAAGATTACTGCCAGTCGGTGTGCTTCAACAACAAGAACAGCAACAAGAACAAGAACAACAAAGTCGACGACGATAACAACAACAACGACGACGACAGCAGCAACAACAACGACAACATGGGTTTTGTTATTGCCCCAAAAGCACCATATAAAAAGGGTCACAACCACCAATTCAGTAAATTAATTTGGCCACTGTCATCCACCATATTATCATTTGCGTATCGATTTCTTCGCCCATTGAATAAAAAGACTACAGTACGCTTCCTAACTCGGTTTAAATTGTTAAGCGCTGTGATCGATGTTGTGTACTTTTAGCGTGAACGAGAATACATATTGTGATGCACCGACCCAGGGGCTGTTCAATACGTCAGGGAAACACGTGCTTCCGATCGATTCAGTCTAGGATTCAATTGATCGCCACGTAAAAAGTATTAATTTATTTGTGTGTGCACATTACCGTGCGATTCTGTTTTTTTTCCACTGTCCAGCAATCGATCGAAATACTATAGTGCAACTGGAAAAAAGAACATACACAGTCAGTCATTTTTATATATCTTCAAAGTGCCGGTTATCATTTTGTATGCGCAGCCTTCATCATCATCATCATCATTATCATCACCGCCAGCATCAACTGCAATAGCAGTGTCTGATGCGCCATCAATGTGCATTTTTCAGACCTGAAATTAAACTCTTCAAAAATAATACTTAGTTCTAGAGAAAATGATTTGTTGGAATTTTCTGAAATTTTAAAATTCCTTCTCTTTGATGATATAAGTGGCCATTTAGTTCACATATAGGCGTGGTGATCCAGGCTTCCGTGACCGCAATCCATGCACGAACACGTACAGTTTCATGTCATCCAATCATCGTTCGGAAAGCTCGACCAATGGTACACCGGGGGCGAACATGACATACGTCGGTGCAAACGGTTACGTGATTGGAGCATTTGCTGCTATCAATTCCTCGTGTATTTCATTGGTGTCCGCAGTTCGGGTTGGAGCCAATCCAGTTCTGAGCTGTACATTACGGGTTCTCGTATTCCTACATTCAGTACTATTCAGATCACCACAATTTGTGGTCGCGAAATGGAGATTCCTGTCACTGAACCGTTTAACCTCCACGGTAGCCCTTCGGAAATCGAAGAGTGGGTAGAACGTTTTGAATTGTGGTGCAGCATCCGGATAGGAGGAATGTAAAATCAGTCGGTCCTATTTTTGACGTTGGGTGGCCGTGAGCTGTATTCCCTAATGAAGAGTCTAGCGCTCCCGAATGTTCCTGCTGAATTGCCTTTCGAGAAGTTGAAATCCCTATTACTGGACCACATTCTCCCAGTGGATTTTCAGGCCACTGAACAGGCCAAATTCAATTCGATGATCAGACTTCCAGCATGTCGTGCCTTGAATTCATCTTTTAGTTGAACAGACAGGCGTCAAAATGTAACTATGATGATCGAAAGGAAAAACAACTTTGTGACCGTCTCATTGCTGGAATCAACAACATCTCATTACAACTTAAGATGTTGGAAAAGAAATATCACCTTTGCTG